GGAGGTCCAGAGGAAGCGTGAGATGATACTGAAGCGCAAGGAGGAGGAAGCGCTCAAGGAGAGCTTGAAGCCCAAACTCTCGGAGGAGCAGCAGAAAGTCATCGACATCCTCCTCGAGGCCCATCACAAAACCTACGACCCCACGTACGCCGACTTCACCAAATTCCGGGTACGTCTGGGGCACGCCAGCCCCGATCCGCGTGCGCAGCGCCGAGCGGTTCCTCCCCGGATGCACCGAACCCATTCCGTCCCACGACCTCGCGATTTAAAAAAGCCCGTTCCATCCCACGACCTCGCGAGTTTTTTTAACTCCTCCGGTTTTTTTAAATAAAATCCCGACGCCAAAAAAAAATCCCAACCAACCCCTCTCCCCCCCAAACCGGGCGAACGCCCGCCACCGAATTGCTCTCCCGTCCCCGTTGCTCACCTCCTGCTCTCTCTTCCAGCCCCCTGTGAGAACCGACGCCAGCGGCAGGGGGGCAGCTCGCTCCTCCTCCATCCTCACCCAGGACTTGTCCTCGGAGGATTCCACCGACCTCTTTGGCTCCGAAGCCTTCAGCGCGTTTCCAGGTACCGCGCTCGCCTCTCCCCTGGGTGACAGGGGTGGAGGTGCGGCAGCTTTACCCAGATCCGGCCACCCGGACCCTCGGTTTTACCTCTTTCGGGGAGGTTATTGAACTCTAAGACCCTCCTGGGGGGGGCCGGGGGGGTGTTGACCGTTCTCCCTCTCTGCAGAGTCCGTGGAGCCCCAGATGTTTTCGAACCTCGTCCTCTCCGAGGAGAACGACGAGAGCTCTTCGATGAACATCGACTTCTCTCACCTCTCCATGCTCCCGCACTTGGCCGACCTGGTCAGCTACAGCATACAGAAGGTGATCGGCTTTGCCAAAATGATCCCGGGATTCAGGTGAGACGGTCGCTCCCAGATCCGATGTCCGTGGCCGTTTTCCACTCTCGGGAATCCCCCATCCTACCCTTCGCAGCCGGATCATTTTTCTCTGTTTCACCTTCGCAGCTCTCCCTCGGGCTCTTCCCTTCCCAGGTCTGTTCCTACCTTCACGTTTTCTGTCTCTCCTCCTCCTCGGGGTTTACTCCTTTTCCGTCTTTACCCCGATTCACCCCAGACTCAAAACGTTTGAGCTCCTCCGATGCTGGAGGCCGCGCCAGCGGGTCCCCATCCCGCTTTGTGAAGGACCCCAGGTCCCGTTTAACTCCAGGCTGACGCTCGGGGCGCCGCTTGGTGCCACCCGGTAAACGTAGCTGCGGAAATACCCGCGGCTTAATTTACATGGAAACCCGGGGTGAAGGGAGACGTCAGGGTTCCCCCTCGCCGGCGAAGGGGGTTACGGATGGAGAAGGCGGCGCGCGGGCCGTCCCTTCGCTCGCCGACCGGGTCTCGCATCGTTTTGCGTGTGTGTGTGTGTGTCCCCCCTCCCTCTTCCCCGGCTCCGCAGGGACCTGGCGGCGGAGGACCAGATCGCCCTGCTGAAATCCAGCGCCATCGAGGTGATCATGCTGCGCTCCAACCAGTCCTTCACCCTCGAGGACATGACGTGGACCTGCGGCAGCAACGACTTCAAGTACAGGATCAGCGACGTCACCCAAGGTAAAGGGGATTTAAGGATCCTCGGTGCGGGGGGCAGAGAGATCCCAGGCGGCGCGGTGGGAACCAGGCGCTGAAGGTGGGAGAGATGCACCCGGTGCAGCGGGGAAGCAACAATACGGAGCCAAACCGCCCGTAGGTTCCAAAAAGAGATTTCAAAAGCAAAACCTGCTCCGTAATCTCCTGCTTTAGAGAAACTACGGCGGAGAAAAGTACGATTAGAACCCAATGTGCTTTTAGCTGTATCCAAAGTCCTTTTCCGCTGTCCCGGCAATCTGCTGCGCTGGAAGAGGAGCTGCCGAGCTCCAGGGAGATCTTTTATTTTTATTTTTTTTAGTTTTTTTATTCCCCCCCTGGAGCGGGCTGTGCTAAAAGTCCTTTCTCCTCCCAGCTGGCCACAGCATGGATCTGCTGGAGCCGCTCGTGAAATTCCAGGTCGGCTTGAAGAAGCTGAACCTTCACGAAGAAGAGCACGTGCTCCTCATGGCCATCTGCATCCTGTCCCCAGGTAGGAGGACGCGAATCCCCCCGAGGTGACGAACCCACCACATTTTTGAACCTCGTCCCCCAAACTAAACCCATCACCCATCCCTACCAGCTGGGAAAAGGGAAATCACCTCATTTTTGGTGGCGTTTCCTAGATCGTCCGGGTGTGCAGGACACCTCGCTGGTGGAATCCCTCCAGGATCGCCTCTCGGAGATCCTCCAGACCTACATCCGCTGCAGGCACCCTCCTCCCGGCAGCCGCCTGCTCTACGCCAAGATGATCCAGAAGCTCGCCGACCTACGGAGCCTGAACGAGGAGCACTCCAAGCAGTACCGCTGCCTCTCCTTCCAACCCGAGCACAGCATGCAGCTCACGCCGCTGGTGCTCGAAGTCTTCGGCAACGAGATATCGTGACTCGGCGGGATGTCGCGACTCCGGCCGCGGGATCGAGCGCGTGTGTCGTGTGTCGTTTCCCCCCCCCGCTCCCCGCTAAAGGGATAAGTCAGCAGCGAGCGGAGGGGACGTGGCGGGAGTTTTGGACGTAGATGGGTTGGTTTCACACTACTGGGGGGGTCCTGCTCCGTCTCAGCCGCGGCAGGGGAGGTTTGATCGGTGACAGACCCAAATCCACGTGGGTTTTTCGTCCCCCGTATTCCGTGAGCGGCTTTTCCCCCTTCCCTGCCGGCTGCGAGAGCTGACTTATCCCTTTACGGAGGTTTTTGAGGCCGGGCTGCCTCGAATCATTTCTTTCTTGACACAAAAAAAACCCAAACCAAAACCGCCCCA